GCCTTTCTAAAATATATGCCAACATTCACGCAAAGGCACAAAGCAAAACATCACATGAACGAATTGAATGCTCATATTTTCCGCTCATCCCCTTCATCCAGGTTGCTACATAATCCTACGGCACCCTTCCATTCGATGTTTCCCAGGCCGCCCCGGCAGTCGTCCGACAAAAGGACCACATGAGGAAGGAAGGAGAGAGCTGCAAAGAGAAGAAGAGAAATCAAAAGAGGACGCTGAACGCGACGCTGTGCTGTGATGTGCTACAGGACCCTGGTATCCCTGAAATTTGAAAAGAAAAAGGATGGAGTTCTGAACCCCCAAACGCCACCCCTTACGCTCTGCCGAAACCCGTTGAATCCAGACCATTTTGTGAACATCCATGCCTTTGAACCGATCTTGAAAGACCTGTTGCCGGCGGATAATTCCTCGCCTGAATACATGGGCGATTGTATGTACGTTTTGGCCCAATCTAACCTAGATTAGGAGACCTGCGAATTTTTGAGGACTTGAAACAGGGACGCTAGAACGAGTGCAAGCCATGCCGCATTCATTCGTCGTCAAAGATCTCGTAGGTGTTTTGCAGAATTGTATCGACAACCTTGATCTGCCATCCGGCGTCGGCGATGCTTGTTGCCGGATCGGTGCCCATGACCGTGGGGCCAAAGATGACGGAAAGGTTGTGGGAGTTCATCCGGTTGACATGGGAGTTCTCCATGACGCGGTGGAGGTGGAGGGTCAGCGAGCGCAGAGTGGCGTAGTTGGGATCGGGGAGGCTGTTGATGATGGCGTGGAGGGAGTCTCGGCGAACGATGTCATCTTCTTGTTCTGTGAAGGGTTAGTGATAGTCAAAATCAATCAAGAAAGGACAACGTACTGGCTGCCTCGATCAACTCGCTGTGATGCTCTGTAGTGAGAAGGGGGTTGGGGAGATCACGCAAGAACTGCTTCAACAGGCCAGTAACACTATTGACGTCATGGTAAAAGTTCTCGGGATTTCTGAAATCCAACGCTGGGTTGCTCGAGTCGGTGTCGAACATGGTCTTGAGCTTGTTGATATGCGTCAATGAGCCGGACTGCCGGTAGATGCCCTCGACGCCAAGTCCGTAGAGGTCCACTGCCTGGATACACTGATAGACGACCATGGGCACAGGCAAACCGTCTCGCTCATACAAGCGAGGCAGGCTTAGCCCGAATGTGGGCCTCGCGGCATTGGGCGACGGCCCGGAAGGACCGCCGAGAGGAGGGGATTGTCTGTTCTGTTGAGGGTATCCTCCTGCACCTGGTGGTGGTCCTTGAGGAGGATACTGTTGTGCCGGTGGAGCCTGGTGCTGCTGAGGAGGCTGGTACTGGCTTTGTGGCGGCGGCGCTCGTTGCTGGGGCTGCTGCTGCGGCGGCGGAGGCGACTGCGATGTCTGAAATGGCAATGCTCCTAGCTGTGGCGGTCCTTGAGAGGACATGCCACCACTATTGTACGTTGGCGCTACGACACCAGAGTTGCGGTTCGACTGGAATTGCTGCTGTTGGCTGGGCTGGTTCAGCATGTTGTTAGTACTGAAGCTACGGCCGTGCTGCTGCGCCTGAGGAGAAGGGTGCTGCTGCTGAGACGATGGCCTTGGCTGTTGAGCAGCCGGCATATTAGGCGGCGCAAAGCTTTGGGGAGAGTCGGCTGGCGGTTGGAAATTGCTGGGTCTAGCAGGAGGTGGCATATCTCGTTGCTGTTGCTGGTTTGATCCTCCTGGTGGCCCAGAGAACGATCCGGATGGCGCGGCCTGCGGTACGTTTGATACCGAAGCATTGGGCTGGTGGCCCATTGCTTGCTGGCGGGCGGTTGCCAAGATCGGGTTCTTCTCGTATTTGACCTCGCCGTTATTGTTGGCAACCTTCGAGTGGTGAGACGTCAGGTAATCGTGAAGGTCCTTTTCGTTGTTAATGGCCAGAACGGCCTCGCGAAGACTGCGCGGTCCTCCGCCAGAACCTTGACCCTTGATGGGGCTGATGCTAAGACCGTTACTCAAGAGCAGCTTCTCGTTGAAGGAGGCTGCGACTGCGTTAGCTCAGGTTCTTTAAGAAGCGATGCGTTGACCAACCAAACTTCTGCATTTGCAGCGCCAGACCAGAGTCGGTCTCCTTGACCAAGTCCTGCAGAGCAGAGATGGCCTCCGGTCTCGTCCTTGCAATCAATTCGGCCTTCTCACTCTGCAGTGTCTGCACCTTGGCCTGGTAATCCTGATCGGCGCCTTGGGCTTTGCGCAAGAGATCCTCCTCATGCTGGGGGCCAGACTTGGACTTCAAGCTGAACATTTTGCCGCTGTTCCTGCTGGTGTCGCCAGTGCGCGCGCGGTCGTACTCCTCAGCCAAACTGTCGTATTTGGCCTTGGACTTGCGCATCGCGGCCTCCAATTCTGCCACCCTGTGTTCCGCCGCCAAGCCGTTGGCCTTCCATCCTTTTCTGCTACGCTCGGCCACGGCGGCAAGCTCGAGCAGGTCGTCGTGCATCTGTTGTAGTGAGAGGGCGAATTGCGTTCCGTTTTCGGCCATGCGCTCGTGGATGTACATCATTTCGCTGTAGGCCTGCGCAAAAGAGCCTTGTCTGTGGTCGGGCTGGTGCATTGTTTCCTGGCTTATACGGGACAACTTCTTGAGTGAGGAGGCGTGGCTTTCTTCGATGTGTGATCGCTTCTTGAGGAAGAGTGCGAATTCCTAGAGTCTCCGTCAGCAGCTGTCATCCTCGTCGGGAAATGGGGTCGGGTTTCGGTCTCACCTTTGCGGAAGCGATACTCGCCTTGAGCTGGTTTAGCATGGTTGCGACACCAATCTGGGCCATTGTCAGTATTCGGGTGGTCCGGAGAGAGAGCAGACTGCCTCCTTACGTCTGATGATAGCACTTCCTGGACCTGGCGCGAGACCTCAGAAGTAGGCGCTGAGCCCGTGTCGGTACCGGCGGGCGGGCCGCCGTTTGCCGTTGCGGCTCCCCCATTCTGTGAGGGAGCTGCGGTTTCTGTGTTTCCTAGCGACATGCTGCTTGCTCTGTCGCGCTGTTCGTTGTGGGAGGGTAGGTTATCGTCGGATGGGGAGCGGAGGTCGGCCATTTTGAGAGGTCGGGGGGGGAGTTGAGCGATGCGGCGCAAGTCTAGTCAGGTAATACGAGATGGAGGCTCGGGCTCAGGTGGCGGCAGGCTGCTTGCGAAGACGGGACGGGACAAGGAAGAAGCCAGGACAGGCGTGGTTTCGTGGCGTGGAGGAGTGAGGTGAGTGAGGGCGCGAGCTTTGCGGATTTGCGGCTTTGCCGTGGTGAGAGGTAAGTTCCCGGTGCGACGGTGGTGGTGACCGTGAGCGAGGAGAGTTGGGGGATGTGTTTAGGTGGAGAGGCAGGGGGTGAAACGGAGGTAATTCATGCGAGAGGCTCGATGATGGGTTCGTGGGAGGATGGGTCATCCAATGTGACCGGTCGGACGGGGAAGTGATGGGTATCGTGCGGATGAAATGTGGCCTTGGATACACGGATGGGCGCGGGACGGCGATGGAGGAGGTGGTTGAGGTGGTGGTAGTGGTGGTGTGCTGCACAATGGAAGATGGGCGTCGCTTGTGCGTGGGTACCTGGGCAGCTGCTGATGGACCGGGGAGCACACGGAGAACGGATTAACGTGGGACGAGTGAGGGACCACGACCTGGAGCAAATCGACGAAGACGGGCGAAAGTGGTACGTCAGGGACCTATCTACCTTTGGTAAGGTAGGTGGCTGAAGATAGGATAGTGGACGTTTAACGGCGTTGACGCGTGGAATTGGAGCTTGAAGAGACTTTGATCTGGAATATTGCTGGAACCGACAATGGAATGGATGTCTCGGGCTATTTTTTTTTCTTTAACTCTCGAATTTCTTGGGACGAGACTACGAAGGTACAGTGCCGTGGTCTTAGCGTACGTAAGGTATGTACGCAGTACATTAGGCATGGAAGCCGGGCCGCAGGTGCAGAACTGAAGGAAGGAAGGAACCTAAGGTGGTGAGCACACGGGGTCCTTGGGTCGCGGCGGAAGGAAGCTGCGAGGTGGAGAAAGGCGACGGGATAGAAAGAGCGAGAGAGGTAGAGAAATGTCTGAAATCGGCAAGCGACAGCTGGAAGCAACGCCCTCGTCGCACGGCCTTGCTTTTCGTTTACATTGTTCGTTTGTACCTTATTGTTACAACCTACGTTTATGTACTTAGGTTGAGTTTGATACCCGACATGAAAGATGCAAACAGAGCACGAGACCAAAGCAATTCGTCCTCGACGCCGGCAGTGTTTGCGATACTTTTGCGATTCAGAGGCACAAGACCATCTACATGACGAGTGCCACTGCTATGCGCCCCAGAGGCAGACGTAAGTCAGGACGTGATGGACAACCACACCTCACCTCAGCTCTTGACTGCAGATGGTAAGTGAGTTCCCCTACACTCTACAGATGTCTTGAGGACGATTCAGTTGGATGCTATGAATAGCGACACTGATGTCTACTGTAGCGCAATCAGATCGAGACCCCGGTGACAGCCGACTACCTTAATCTCCTCCCCTCCAGTACCATCAAATGGTCTCTTTCGCTGAGGCGTCCCTCTCTCCACTATCGGGGCTAAAACGAATAAACTGGAGCCCCCAGCCTCCCACCCCTCTTCAACTCCATTCGCAAATCACACAGACCTCGCACCGCCCGCCACCGCCGCCCCAATCGACAAAACGGGCACGTAGTCTCTTTCGAGCTTAGCCCCCCTCAGTTGAAAGCTGAGCACTGCCCTGCCGTGCCTGCCTACCCGTGCTCAGCGTTGAAGAAGAACGAAAGTCACCCTCCAACGCGGCATGTCTCTCGATTTGTTCTGGTATCGAGGCACGAGGTAGCAGTTCACGGCAACCTGAAGCATCAAAACAGCAGATCATCTTAGACCCACGGGAGGCAACATCAGCCCAGTGACACATCGCTAAAGAGTACCAAGTAGCCATCGCGCAGGTTTAATTCAACTCGGATACGAAATGGACACACCATCACACCTTTTGAACGGATACGTTGAGCTCTGGAGATGCCTCAAGTGGCCCGCCGATCCAGGACAGGCCCTGTTTCGTGGTGCTCGTATCTTCATCTGGTCACTTCCAGCTCGACCATCGCTATTAACCAGCGACAGCTGTAGGAAAGTCTGTCAAATAGTCGTACTGGAACTTTCGAGCTAGCCAAGGGTTTGATTCCTTCAACGTTCGACAATGGAATGTTTCGAGTTCCCAATTTCTTCCACTGTCGAGGCGTCGATAGGTTCCACTTACAATTCAACGAGGTTTTATTGCTACAACTCAAGCAACAATACGGCTTCCTCCATTGTTCACACTCACACATGTTGCCTTTCGCATAATCACATCCATCTACCGACTAAAGATTTGACAGCAATTGACAATCGACCCCTTGGACATCCCATGTTCGGCCTGTCCCCATCCTCTTGTCATCCCAAAACCGTCCCCTCGACGTCGATCTCGTACAAAGTGTATCAAGCCTGCCATCCCCTGTCCCAGACACCACGGCACGAATTCGACTTGGCATCCCGAGTCCGATAACTGCGACAGAAGATCTTCAAACCCGCCCCGTTCTGGACATTCTCTTCAACTGCCATTCATCCCAAACCCCCAGTTTGATTTTGCTTGGCCGTTCCCCCCTTCCATTGCAACAGTCACCTTGACCGTCGGCGTCCCTCGCCTATTTCGATCCATGCCCCGCGGCTGCGTTCGTCTAGTCTAGGCTTATATTTAAAGTGACGGATCGAAAACACAAAGGGCCCCTGGTACCGGAGGTGCGGGCTCGAACTGTCACCTCAAACGCTTGCCGAGCCGACTTTAACTCTACGCAGGCGATCCCTACCTTCTAGACTTTGGCGGGGAACATCTGACTGACTTCAGACCGCCAAGCTTCACTGATTCTGTTGATATCAGGGTGTAATATATCACCACCACCCTCAGTCAATGGTCCAGTGTCAGCAACTGCATAAGAGGTTTCCCATTATGCATAGAGCACCATCTCGCAGACTTTCATGGAGACAAAGTGGGGGAGAATATGCCATCCAATGCGTCGTCCACTCTTGCCGTCATAAGACAAGTGGACTGTGAATGAACAAAACTCTCATGATGCCATAGGAGGAATACCACCAATCCCATCCGCGTACGATAGTCCAAGGACCTTGTCTTGGTTCATTGTACATGTCGGAACGGGCATGACAGACGTCAGTGTTTCAAGCTCTCTCCCGCGATAGTAGTCTTTCCAACAGGCGCTGTACCGGATGTGCCGGACTCAGGGCAGACCCAGCTTCAAGTATTGAGTGCCGGATGCGAATCACTCGGTGTCAAATGCTCTCTATGCCTTCCTCTTGACCAGAGACCATGACCGTGATCTGCCGGCGTACCTAGTCCCAGGTGAAGCTAAGTAACAAACGCTTCCCTCGTTCCCTTCCAAATCATCCCAAGACATGCGAGACTGGACGAAGACGGGGCGTGACATCTGAACAAGTACCGGCTGTCGCCGTAGATTCCGATTTGTCTCCTTGACCCGCGTCTTAACGCGTCTATCCTATGATATGGGGTCAGCAAGCTCCCAGCAAGCCTTTTCTATGCCCTTCATCAGATGCTCTTTCCCCGCCATCGTCACCCCGGTAGTACTGTACCGAGACGGCATCCATCACAACCGTCTCTCTACGTCCCTTCTTCCGAGAACTTCGCACCTCTCCTCTAATACCTCGCCATGCTTTTACTTCAGAACGTCTCCTAGCTCCCACCTATACATGATGGCAATCCCGCAGCCATCGTCACCACCCTTTCTTCATCGCTCCCTAATAAAAAATCAAATCCAAAGGCTTCTGCTCGTCCCCGTACCGCTCCTTGAACTCCTTCCTCGACAACCACCGCGCGAGCGGGAGCATCGTGTCCTTCATGTCCATGATGCCGCGCTTCTTTTGATCAATGTGCGAGGCGTCGACCACGAGGCGCTGGAGTTTATCTAGTTTTAGGGCTCCTAGGTTTGCAAGGTTAGTTTGCTGTGTTTTCTGGGCTATGTACATTCTGTGCATGTTCTCTGTCTCTCGTGTTGTGGCTATTTGGAGGTCCATAACCGCAGTGATGTGCGTGAAGGGGGGGGGGGGGGGAGTTAGTTTACGGTACTCACCATTGTCTACCAACTCCATGAGTCTGGCGGGCGTTCCGACCGCGATGCCCGTTCTTGTCTTTTGCAGAAACTGGACTTGCTCGTCTACCTTCATGTGCTTTGCAAACTATGAATGTACCCACGTTAGCCTTCTTCCCATCTTCGCCCCTCAAACCGGATACCAGTATGAACAAACGTCCCCCCCTCAATACTCGAATCTCAAAAGAGTGAGGGGATTCAAGGTAAACAGAATATTCAGAGCGTGTAAAAGTGACTAGGAGAAGAAGAGGAGATAATAAAAACCTCACCAGCTTGGAAACGGTACTCTCCTTCCCCTGAAACTTCCTCACGGCCCTCACGACGTCCGCCGCCCTCAAGCCCGCAGCAGCGACGATGATGGTGTGCGGCGCGCCCTTGACCTTGGGCGCCGTGAAGAGCCTGTCGGGCCTCTCTGCAAAGTTCTCGAGAAAGGCGGGGAGGTTGTCCAGGGCGCGGGGCTGCGTCCAGGATGTCGTGTCCTTGATGGCGTTTGCTTGTTTGTGTCAGTACGATTTTTATTTATTTGCTCTCCAAAGTATCCTCTTCTCTTTATGGGAGTAGGATTATACGTATGAAAAAACGAGGTAATTGGGAAAGTAGTAATAAAAAAAACGACGAGGTGCCAAAAACTCACCAGAGATGGACAGATCCGAAAGCTCAACCGGACTCAGATCCGTACCGAAGCGGGAAATCTTTTGCGCCGTGTAGTCTGCGAGGAGCTGGTTGTCCATGACGGCAAAGGACTCGTTGATGCCCAGCTCGGCGTTGAGTAGCGTCTCGTCGACCTGGTAGGCCGACTTCTTCTTCTGCTTCTTTGCCTTTTGGCCGCCCTCGCCGCCTTCTTGGCTGGGCGCCGCTCTCTTTTTCGTGTTGGACATTGCTGTGTGTCGACGTGTGGGTTTTGCGTTCTGGGAAGTCTTGGTCTACTGGTTGATGTCTGAATGAAGTGAGTTTCCGGGTGGTTGGACGTATCTCAGGTGAAGACTTTTTGGTGGTTTACAAGTTTCGGTGAGGATTTTGGTGTAGTTGATATGAGAACTGGGCAGCGTATGAAAAATTTCGATGTTGAGAAGGAAAATTTCAATCTCGCACTGTACGTACGAGAGGTAGGCCCCTTGGGTGACACCTGGGGAGAGATCCGTTAGGTGCTTGGGCCCGCACTGGAGCACTCACAGTGCGCATGTTTCCGTCTGCTAAAGCGCACCTCCAGACAGGCAGTTGTCGACGGACTGACCGAGGGAAGTGACGGACTTTGTGAAGAAAGAACCTTTTCATTATCTGTGTGTACACTACCTGATACTCATTGAACAAGCTTGCAAAGGCGAAAGGGAGTTCATATTAGTTTCCCTTTTACTATGAGACTGGGCATTAGCAGCCGAGTGGTCGCAGGAAGGGGGGCCTTTGTGGTTCCGCAGCTGTTGTGCTCTCCATTGACCTCCGTCAAGTACCCTAGAAGAGAGGATAGCCTTCATAATCTGCAATCGTTACTTGGTAAGGTAGGCAACCCATTCAACACATGTGTGGTTTTTCTTACAACTCCTAACAGATGACGTAAAATACTGCCGAGCAACTTGTACTTAGACTGTGTTCGCTTTTGCTGGGCGTCAAGTAGTATCCAAAGACCACTCGTCAACACACCCCATACAGTCGCAAAGGAAGAAAGGCAGATGATGATCGTACCATCCACAACAGTAGTGGTTTTGCACGCAGATACCCGCAATCCCTAAACATCTGTCAAATGAGGAGGAAAACATCTCTTTCTCTCCAAGTGGCTCATGGCTCTCACTGAAAAGCCAAGTCAGCCAAATGCCGTTAAAATCAAGAGCAACTTGTTCACATAGCCTCTGTGGCTTACATGAACATCGTGAAGCCAGCAGCCTTACCTTCTAGAGACGAGTCACTTCGCTTTCCCAAGCACCAGCAAGTCAAGCCAAATCTCATCAGCACAGAAACGATACAAACTGAGCCAGAAGAGAACGAACCACTCCAATGCCGAAATCCAAATGTCCATTCCATACTCCCCTCTCCCTGCCCGAGATCCCGCCTCCGATAGAATCGTACCCCACAGGCCGGCCGCATGTATACCGGTGTACGAGTGAGCGCGCGCCAGCCAAGCACGGTCACTCAGTCCCATAAAAGTTTCCTAATCGCTGCCCGCCGCTCCTTATCCTTTCTTATCGCTCGCGCGTCCCCACACGGAAACTTTTTTTTTGGTCCCCCGAAGTTCGTAGGTAGTCTCTGGGCAACAGTTTTCAAAAGGGAAATATTTTGAACCAAGTCACCCCTTCTTGACCGCGTCGTTTCTTACTCCACAGTACGGTGACCGCTACGGGACCCTTCGAATTACAATCCCAAACTTTGTTGTTCTCGTTCAATTCGACACTTCATACCAACGATCTCGAATCTTCCTCGAGTCCAAGGCCCCAGCATCAGCAACAATGGCCTCCGCAGAACTCTCCAAGAAGCGCAAGCGCGCCGAGCCCACGGCCGACGCCGCCGCCGTCGCAGACGAGTCCTCGACGAAGAAGTCCAAATCCGAAAAGAAGGAGAAGAAGGAAAAGAAGGAAAAGAAGGCCGCCGCCGAATCCGCACCCGAAGGCGGAGAATTCATCGCCCTCGAGGAATCAAAGGCCGAAAAGAAGGAACGCAAGCGCAAGGAAAAGGAAGCGCGTAAAGCCGCCGAGGCCGCCGTAGAGGACGCATCAGCAGACGCCGACGCAATGGACGTTGACCCGCCCGCGCAAGAGAAGAAGGTTAAGAAGAGCAAGAAGGAAGATTTGGATGTCAAGACGGAGAAGAAGGAGAAGAAGGAGAAGAAGGACAAGAAAGAGAAGAAGGATAAGAAGAAGAAGGAGGCCGCTGCAGAGACCGAGACTGAGGCCAATGGTGTAGAGACTGCTGTCGCCGAGGAAAAGACGGAGAAGACGGAGAAGAAGGAGAAAAAGTCAAAGAAGGCGAAGAAGGCAAAGGACGAGGCTGCGCCGGCGGCAGCGGCCCCTGTCGAAGAAGCAGCGGCTGAGCCAGCAGCTCAAGAAGAAGAGACCGCCGAGGGAGGAAAGAGGGAAAAGTACATTGTTTTCGTCGGTGAGTCCAGCCTACATCCCTCCCATCACCATCACCACCTCCAAACCCAACAAGTATGGACGCCCAGCTAACCATTCTCTCAACCCCCCCAGGAAACCTCCCCTACACGGCAAACAAGGACTCCATCAACGCCCACTTCGCAGCCTACAAGCCCTCGGCCATCCGCTGCCTCCACAAGGACGGCAACCCCAACGTCTGCCGCGGCATCGCCTTTCTCGAGTTCTCCAACGGCTCCAACATGCGCACCTGCCTCGACAAGATGCACCACACCTCGTTCGACGACGGCCTCTCGCCCGCGCGCCAGATCAACCTCGAGCTTTCGTACGTTTGCGTCCCGTATTACTTCACCCCTAGCCCTCACCATCCTACCCTGATCCCAACCCTCCTTCTACCTCTCCTAAACCAACCCCTGCCTCCCCTGATGTAAACTTCAGCTAACAAACAACAGCGCCGGCGGCGGAGGCAAGAGCAAGTTCCGCAAGGACAAGATCAAGGAGCGCAACGTCCAGCTCGACGAGAACCGCCACAGGCGCATGCAAAAGGAGGAGGAGTACAAGAAGGAGAGGGCCAAGCAGGGTGGGGCCAACTCCCAGCAGGATAGCATCCACCCCAGTCGCTTGGCCATGATGTATCAGTAGACGGAAGGATGGACGAACGGGCATGTATGTTGGAAAGGTGTAATTTAGTCGTTGTTGGACTGATGAACAAAAAGCTGGATCTGGATATATATACACCTCTGGATCAAGGAACCAGGAGTTGTGGTATAGAAAAAAGGGAGATCAATAGAGCCATCAAAGCATTGCAAGCAACATCAAGATTCTCACGCATCCAATACCCAAGTGCATTTGCAATGGCAGTCAATTCTCAAGACGAAGCTCATCCCTTCCTGACCCAGTGTCTAAATTCCTCCATGAAAAAAGTAGTGTCTTTGTGAGAGTGAGTGCTATCTACAGAAAACGTGGGATATCCTTGTGTTGTTGTGTTGCAAAGCATGCCTGCTACCAACGATGCCCCATTGTGTCTGTCATTCTCTTCTTCGCCTTTTGCTCCCGGAAACGGGACAAAAGAGCAATAACGAAAGCACTGATCCTGCTCAACTGCCATGGCCGATTCCAGAGACACCACGAGTGTCATTCACAAATTCGGTGTGGCAGGTGGGCAAAATCTGATATTTGGGGGTTTGTTGCGATCTTCGCAGGCTGTGCTCAGCGGGGGGCTCTCGAATGGGGTTGTGCCTCTGAAAATAAGTGTCTCTTCTCGTTGGATAAGCGTGAGGCACCGGGTTGTGCAACATGGTTGAGCCCTGACGAAAAGGCAGCAGAGAACTAGGCGTGTTATACACTGCCGAACGCCAATCCAAATGTTAACCCGCAACGCTTGAGGTCAAGTCAAAGGCGTTTACAAAATCGTGCACTTGGACTTCTTCTTCTGCGTAGCGACCGGGCGAGGGTTCAAGACGGCACTAATTCCAGGTTAGCTATTTACTCTGACACATTGGCACTGAAGAATCCTCACCGAATAGCCTCATCGAAAACGCTCTTCAGATTTCTCTGTGTCAGGGCAGAGCACTCTAGGTACTTGTGTGCCTTGATCTCCTTGGCGCAAACCAAGGCCTGATCGTAGGAAACGGGCTCCATGCGCTTTTGGCGGAGGGACTCGAGGGTGTTGGGGTCCTCTCTCAAATCCAACTTGGTGCCGACGAGGATGATGGGAATGTTTGGCGCATGGTGGTCGATCTCGGGGTACCACTGCATCAAATTAGTGCTGATCTCCATGTGGTGGTGGTGGTCGTCGTGGTGCAGGATGCCGTACCTTGGCCTTGACGTTGTCAAATGACGGCGGGCTGACAATGGAGAAGCAAATGAGGAAGACGTCGGTCTGGGGGTATGAAAGCGGCCGCAGTCTGTCGTAATCTTCCTGACCAGCAGTATCCCAAAGTCCCAGGCTGATCGGCTTTCCATCAACCATCACACTCGCCGAGTAGTTGTCGAAGCTAGAAGCTCGAGGTCAGATTGGAACTCCATCATCAATCGACATGCAGAATGCTTACACGGTAGGAATGTACTCGCCGGGGAAGGCGTTCGTTGTGTAGGAAATAAGCAGGCATGTCTACAAGATGGATTAGTCGCGAGATGCCGAGGGGTATGATGATGGGAGCAGCTTACTTTTCCGACAGCACCGTCACCTGTCACCACGCACTGCAAGATCACAACACCATTAGCGATTCGCTCCTTCCCAACTATCGATATCAGGATGATGGGTGTCGCCAAGCGCGACGCACCTTCAATGACTGGACTCCTGGCTGAGCCATTTCTGTGATATTCTGAACGATGTGTAGTTGGATTCCACGACAGTCGTTGATGCGAATAGAGTTCGCAGGTTGGGTTAGGAGAAGCGGCGGCGAATTGGAAATCGATCCGAAATGGGATTCTGCAAAGTCAAGTGTGACACCAGGTTGGAGGGACAAGGAGAATTGGCGAGCGTTTGGATTAGGCGGTGGTTGCTCAGATGTGTGTTTGGTCCTGAGGAATCGCAATTATGGGTGTGGTATAGAGAGCTTTGGTATAGTATGGTACGATGTGGGCGGCCTGGGCTGGCGACAAGCGTCGTGTCGTGTCGCGTCGTGTCGAACAGACAAAGCGGCAAAAGAGATTCAGGTTCCAGGTAGCAGGAGCGGAAGGAACGAGGCGAGAGCAGGAGGGTCTAGACGACGAGTCTCTGTTTGACGGCAAGGTTAGGGTCGGATACAGAGCGAGGTAAGGTAGGCGAGAGAAAGAGTCAAAGGGTATGAGAGTGTGAGGTGAGAGTTTGGGACTTGGGTATCCGTACAGATGGAAGTGAGCAGAGTTGGCGTAAGGTGGCAGAAGAAAACGAAGCAGGCACACTGCGCGGCAGCAGCAAAAGACGACTGGAGATGGGGAGTCTGAGCTCTGGTGGGTTCCGATGGCTGCATAAAAAGTCGAGGTCAGAAATGTTTTGACACAGCGGAAGGGATTAGTGCCGCAGGAGGTGAAGCTGGAAGGGTGATAACGGTACCCTGTATATCTAACCTTCTTCTCAGGCAAAGAAAGTGGGGATGGGGGCAATTGGGAAACCTGAGGGAAGGGAAGTGGAGGGGGTCGGGGTGGGCACTGGGCACACTGGCGCTGGGCAGGCGGTTTAGAGTAGTAGTGCGGTAGGGTCGTCGTAAGGTCCAGGGAATGGAAGGAAAGGTATGAGGTGAGGTGGTGAGGTAAGGGCAAGGCAAGGTGAGGAGAGCCCGAGAGCAGTGCTGAGGTGGAATGGGAATGGCTACCTCAGTAACTTGGTCCGACGTAGGTAGTTAGGTAGGTACCTTTTGGTACGGGGTCTGTCTGGTCTTGGGACAGGGCAAGGGGGGAGAAGCCGACGGGGGTGTGTTGAAGGTGGTGGGAAAGGGAAAGCGTTGGACAACGGGAGAGGAGTCTGAGGAGAGGAGTATCCATCCGTACGGATGGGAGGAGAAGGATGAGAGAAGAGGAGCGAGCCCGAGGACAGCCCAGACCAGGCAGGACAAAACACTCACCAGGATAAGGTAAGATGCAATGAGAGACAGTCACCAAGGCAGTGTGCTGTACGCAGTATTGGTACTGGACGGATCCAGATTAGAGCAGCAAGGAAGTCACTGCTGATGGGATAGGGATTCAATGTTTCGAGGTTGGCGGCTACTTTACTTTTGCTGTCAGAGGTGGGAGTGTGTCCCGGCCGCAGCAAGCTACAAAGAGTGTTGAAGAGAACCTGAAGACGGGATGGGATGTTGGGTTGTCACGTTGTGTGAGTTGAGTTTGAACAACAAAGAAGACAAGAGGGCGGTGGCAGTGGAAGCAGCCGGCCGTGGCAGTGAGCGATATCGAGGCAAAGCACGATTGACTGGAGATTTCAAGAGATTGGTTATAGTGGATTGGGAGAAGATGGCGGGTATTGCCAACGATGGATGATGGATAGGTACAGAGAAAGCACACAACGGCTAGGTAGGTAAGGTACAAACACAAAGTGACGAACAAGCAATAGAAGTCAAGGCAACGGAAGGCAAAGGTTTGGCAAGATACGAGGCGAGTGAGGTGAGGATGAGGCAAGAAGCGCTGAAAACCAAGGTACCTTTGGTTAGGTAATGTAAGGTAAGGTACCTTGCTCCCCCGACGTAGGTAGAGAGCGGTAGAGAGCGGTAGAGAGGTACTTACACAGATAACCAGGCGCGGGTTTGGGAAGGAGGGGAAGCCGAGGGGGGCATATGGGTGGCACGTACCGGTGTGCGGTCTGCGATGCGATGCGATGCGCTGCAGTGCAGTGCGTCGCGGGCAGCAAGGAGCTCCTGGCTGCAACAGTTTCGGCGTCAACGTGCTTTACCTTGTAACGACCTATTGACCAGTGATCCCAATCCAATGGGAAAGCGGCGGCAAAGAGGGCAAAGAGTTACAGGTTCGCAATATCTGAGTTGGGGGTCCTAGGTAGAGTTGCCAATGGAGAATGGAAGCAATGCGTCGCGATCAGACGAAGACTGACGGACTCATTACTGGACGGTAGTAGATCAAGGTAAGTTTGGCATAGCAGATGATTGATTTGATTGACTGGATGGATCTGATGGTGTGCAAGGTGAGGCGAGAAGGATGAGACCAGCCGGGCGCGTGTGGGAGGTCACTGGCGGTTCACAGGCCCAAGGGAGAGAACTTGAGGTTTGCACGAAGTACCTTGGGTAAGGCACCGTGCAAGGTACCAGTGGACGCTGCACTGCGTTTGAAGGTGTTTGAAGGCGCGGGATGGATTTGGGACTTGGAAAGGAGGACAGGCTGGATTGGGTGGTCAAGATCCGGCAGGCGGGCACGGCGCAGGCCAGTCAGCGGCGGAATTCTTCGGGGGGTGGACGGTGGACGGTAGGTAAGATGTGGGTTCTGAATTTCTGGTGGTCAATATTGGTCGGGTCCCGTCTGAGGACGAAGATGAAGATGCGAGCGAGATGGAGTATCTTGTCCTTCCATTGTAGGTGTTAACCTTTGAAACCATGCGGGGATTGTCTGCCGACAGACACTAAGGTAGATGGTCGGCGATGATGTAGGAGGTGCCTTCCCACGCTTGCTTGCTTCCTTCCTTGGAGGCGGAAAGCGAGTTAAGGAAACAGGAGGCAAGAGCAAGTTCTTACTCTCAAGGAAAGAGAGGCTGGTGTTGGGTCCCGGACTGGGTCTGGATCTGGATCTGTCTGGATGGATGGATCCAATACCTACCGATACTTGTGGTTGGCGGCGGTGTGGGTGGTCCGTGTTGACCTCTCACCTCCGTCGTCGGTGGTTGGTGCTGCGATTGGCGCTTTGCTGTCGGCGGGGGTTTTTTGACGGGCCACTGGCAGATGAGGTACTCAGAGGTACGTGCAACAAACACCAACCACTAAGAGCGGCTCATGACGATGCCAATGTCGTACCTCGAGGAATGAACCGAACTCGACCTGGACTCTGCCTGGGATCGTCACGGGAATGAGACGTTGATAGGGAAACAAGAAAACTGTTCAACCTTTACGGACACCTAGGTAGCTAAGCGATGGCGCCGCTACTTTGGAACCAGAACTTCACTCTGGAAACGCGATGACCTTGACTAGGGATGCTATCCCAAGAAACCAACCCAGACGAATGGTGATGCCTGAACAAGAGCGCAAATGTGTCAAGCGCTAAACAAACGTCAAATCCATGGCGCATCGTGTTACCTACTTGATGAGATTGGGTGCCGCTGGGACCTGCTCACTATCATGTCGACTCGACACGACTCCTCTCATCCGATCAGTCGTTAAGGTAGGTATGACGATGACGATATCTCCAACATGGAGGCGCGTATGCACCGATCTGATGTATACGAAAACTCTACTGGTCCATTTCACGATGTTAACCAGGAGTTCTAGCCGCCATTTCATATCACGGTCACAACGGGGCAATGCAGAAGTCACTCATCAACTCTAACATCCGCTCGCTTTGTCAAAAGCTCCATCCATCTCTTTCATGGCTTGAACAGTGAGGTAAGGTAAGCTCGGAAGGGAAATCAAGGTAGGTATGTACCTCGAATGTCACCACTGACGGTTCGTGATGAGCCAGAGCTAAAAAGTAGCGCGCACAGGGAGCTCTCGCGGCATCCCAGGGGAGCCTTGGTTAATCCCTGAGGGCCCCGTCAATGTCCAATATTCAATAATCGCACCGGCCGACCGTCCATTTTCTCACTTTGCAATTTGGATCATCGCATCGGCCATCTTTCCCTCCTTGGGACTGTTCAGGAGTAAATCATCAGAAAATCAGGTCAGTCCGGCCTATTACACCGTCAAGTACGGATACGGATACAGCGGGCCACCTTTCCTTCCCTCACGAGCAACTTCTTGCCGTTCTCCTCGATGGACGCGTGCTTTCCTGAAGAAACGGAAGGCTCTCCCATTTCAACGTCACCTCACTGAACAGGCAATAGGAAACTGAAAGGGAAGGAGACACAGTCAAGGGGTGGAAGGGCCTTCGACTGTAAAAGTGGACACATACTCTCAAAACGGCTTAGCCCCGGCCCGTCCATCGAACTGGGAGGCTTTGCGAAACTTGCCAGGGGCCGGGCCACGATATCTGTCAATCGCGGCAGCCTCTAGGAATCCAGTTAGCCACTGCCAACCTGGAGCCAACTCTCCTGCCCCCCCACCACCACCAAAGGTCTTTGCTACAGACTACGGATACTGAACCACGGGAGTAGGTCGCTCCCAAGACGCGACCTGAGGTACCTACGCAGGCGTTGTTTCCGTTTCCTTTGTGACGATGAGTCGGGTCACGCCTCCTTTGTTTCCTGTCAATCTCCATCTAACCGTCTCCATCACCAGTCTCGTCTCGCCTTTCTGCCGCGCTGTGGCTAAAGTATTCCACAATCCACACACACTCACTCACACACTAATACGCAGTACGGAGTACGGGATACACACACTCACACATGCAAGAGAAACGTCCGTCCCCTTCGCCGCCCGCCCGCCCGCTCGCTCGCCCCAGAATGAGAGTTCAGGCGCCACTTGACGCACGTCTTGTAACAAACTTCTGCCTCTGATGGAACACTTGAAGGAACGTTTTGAAGCTCCTTCTTTTCGCCTTCCAACCCGTCCACCCGACCTTGCCGACTCGAACTCTCACAAGGAGTACCCGGCTCTGGCGCTGATCCATCTAACTGGACATGCGCATTCTCACTCACATCCACATCTTCAAATCCATATTGTCATATCACACGCTACAGATTATAGAGTATCCGTATTACTGCTCCGCAATATTGAGATTGACGAGTTCGAGGCGAAAAGGCGCCTAGTCTGATTCGCCGAAATTGAACGGCCTAGCGCTGGCATTGAATTCGGCGACCTATCGGTTCACATCATCTACCCTCGCCTTGACGTCAAAGGACACAGATATTGAGCCGTCTTGATCCACCACCCTCGAGGGCTTCTACATTGAGGAAATGTCCACTTGCCAAGTGACTCGCCGTTCGACGTTCCAACAGACCCACTGGCATAGGCCTTTCAGGACCATCAGACCAGAGCTATCCATATGTTCTACACTGACTGACTTTTTCTGATCTCTATCACACTAACCCGTCCTATCTCTTCCTTGTCAGACACCTCCTGTCAAGTCAAGGAAACACGGGTCAGATCATTGACTTCCTTGGCGACGAGTACTTTCAACCCATCAACTCTTGCGTTGCGGCCATTCTTAATATGCTGAGGAAGAGACCCTCCGGACCTTCAACCCGGCAAGGCATATAAGTCGCTGGCTCTTGAAGAACATTCGTCGAAACGCTCGACAAGTGTCGCTTGTTTCCCGTCACAAACCCGGTCCAATCCGCCGCACGTCGCACAGATCGCTTCTTCACATGTAACCGTACCCGTTTCCCCATCGTGCCCGGTTACGCTCTCTAGCACACGGACGCCATCACATCACCTTGTCAGATAGCTTGACGCACGGGATCGCCGGCAAGGGCGAGCTGGGTCTGTCTTCACCTCACCCAGTCGCAGGTGAGGCTGTGAGCTTCAAGATGCCCGTCGACTGTATCTGTTCCTTGGATCCGGTTTGAGACTTGGAATGCAACACGACCTTTTCCCTCTCAAGAGCCTAGAGGAACATGGCCTCGTCTCGTTTGATACGGGGTTAACGACCAGTAAGAAAACCATGGACTGCTGCACATGCTAGTCTTCCAAAAGGTTACGGACTAATTCGCAACAAGCTGCGAGAATTGGCCTGCTACATCCCTCACCATGTCTTCCCCGCTTGCAAACTTACGGCCAAGCAGTCTTTCGCCCTC